AGAGGAAGATGAGAAGAGCAGAGAGCGAGAGAGAAGAGGAGAGATGAGAGATAGAGATGGTGAGAGAGAGAGAACGAGGGAGGAGAGAGTGTGGGAGATAGATGAGAACGATGAGATAAGGGAGATGGCGGCGGATGATGATTGCACACAATATTTGGCGGCGGGCGGAGATGCTAGCAATATTCAGACACAATAGACAAGCGAGAGCAAAGAGAGCGCAAGAGAGAAGAAGAGAGGAGTAATTGTGTGAAAGCGAAAGCTTATTATAATATATTTTATATATACTATATATATATATAGAGATGAGATGCAGAGAGAGAGAGAGAGAGAGAGAGAGATAAAATAGAAGAGCAAAGAGAAGAGACAGTGTGGTGTGTGTGTGCGCGCGCGGCAGTTGGTGTGTGCGTCTGCGCCTAGTGTGTGCGCAGTGGTTCTGTGTGTGCGTGCTTGCTGTGCGTGTGTGTCGACGTTGGTGCGTAGTGCGTGTGCGTAGTGCGTGGGCAACGAAGCTGAATGTGGGTGCGGTGTGCATGCGTGGCGTTGTGCGTGTGCGTCTGCGCGCTGTGGTGTGTGCGTGTGTTTTTGCGGTGATCGATATGTGCGTGTGTTTGCGCGTGCGTATTGTGCGTGCGTGCGGTGGTGTGTGTGTGTGTGTGGGTGTGTGTGCTGTGTGTGTGTATGTGTGTGTGTGTGTGTATGAGTTGTGTACAGGGCGCAGTCGTCTGCGTCATGTCAGCGCTGTACGTCTATTCCAGCCGGGCACGCTCATTCAAGACTTCTGATGCCATGAACGTGATTCCAGCCGACTCGCACAGACACACACACCATACACACACACACACACACAACACACCACACACACCAACACACACACACACCCAACAAAAACACACACACACACACACACACACACACAACAACACACAACAAACACACTCGCCGGCGCGACACACACACAACACACATACAAAACACACAACCCAACACACACAGACACACACACACACAAACACATCACACAGAAAGTTTATAATTATATATATATCTATATATATATATACTTAGCATCCTATATGCTAGTGCGCGGAGCTGGCTGCGCCGTAACAGGCACGGCCGCACGGCTTCCAGCAGACGAGTGGACGGATAGCGCGCGCTTGAGAGACTGCTGCAGTATGTTTTACGCAGCATGTTTACGCCTAGTTACAGTTTTCCGTTGTCCGTTTAAAGAAGGGTGCTATTGAAGAGGCGACAAGTGGCGTATTAGAGATTTATGAGAATTGTGAGGAGCGGAGCGCGAGAGAGAGGGATTGGAAGTTAGTTAGAGAGACAGGGGAAAAAGAGACGGCGCCGAGGAGTGAGGAGAAAAAAGAGAGAGCAGAGAGGAAAAAAGCAGGAAAAGAGGAAGGGGAAAGGAGGAAAAGGAAACGGGAAAGATGGAAGTAGAGAGTAGGGTTCGCTAGAGAGATAACGAATGTGTTGTCTGAGATGATTAGGGCATAGCAGCGAGAAATATTAGAATATCTGATATATGCACGCAGGCAGTAGCATCCTATCCGCCAGCGCTGGCCTGTGTGTTTGTTCTAGGCTTCATCTTGTCAGTCGGCTGTCTCCCACACACGCTGAGTGCGTTGACGCTTTGCTCAGATCCCGCCGATTATCCGATCGTAGACGCGAAAAACTCTCCAACCTTTCCGTCGCGCGCAAAAATAATCGGACACAATCTCAAATCGCACAATGTTTCCTCTCTGAGAGCATCGCGACTCTTGTCGACAATGGGAATCTAAGCAACCTTCGCTGCATTTGACCATGCGAGCGAGCAGGGGAGGATGAGATGACGGAAAGCAAGGTGGGAAAGGAGAGAGAGGAGGAGGGGAAGAAAAAGGAGGGGAGAGGGAAGCAAGGTGGGAAAAGGAGAGCGAGGAGGAGGGGAAGAAAGGAGGGGAGGAGGGAAGCAAGGTGAGAAAAGAGAGCGAGGAGGAGGTGGAAAGGAAGGCAATACGGTGGAGGAAGAAGCAAGGTGGGAAAAGGAAAGCGAGGAGGGGGCTGAAGAAGGGGGCGAGGAGGAATCAAGGTGGGAGAAAAGCTGAGAGGAGGAGGAGGGGAAGGAAGGAGTGGAGGACTGAGAGCAAGGTGTCGAAAAGCGATGAGCGAGGATGAGGGGAAGGAGGAGCGCGGGAGGACGAAGCAGGGTGCGCAAAATGAAGAGAGGGGAAAAAGGTAGGAAGGAGGAGAAGGGAAGAAGAGAGAGAGCCGCGCAGGGGCAGGGGGAGACATGTGAAGAGAAGCGAGAGTGGAGAAGATTGCGTTAGGTGATCAGAGGGGAGGAGACGGAAGGCAGGAAGGAAGATTTGGATCGAGAAGTGCATCGACATAATCTCTATATGATGTAACGATTGGATTTGGAGAACAGGCTCGAACGCAGCTATTTGGTTAGCAGTCACCTCATAGAACGGCGACATGTTCATAGCGGTTGGATGCTACTAATATATAAAAACCTTCCGATGGCTGCCGTGATAGACGGTACACAACGACAGTTACTTGCAAAGCAGCCAGCGGTCTACTGTTTCTTGTATTCCTTCGACGCGGCAGCAACCGTGTACAGCGGTCATCGTTCAGAGCGGGCAGGCACAGGTGTGACAGCGCGTCACCTCGAGCGCGGCAGCAACGATGTACGCGGTCACTTTCCCACGTTTTCCTTACTGCTCATAGTTTACTGACTGCGTCTTGATATGATAATATTGGGTTTTATGTCGAGAAGAATTGGGTCTAGCCTCGCTCCAGGAGAAACGATCTTTCTCAGAGGTCCAGGCGTCAGTTAACCAGCGTCGATTCCCGCAATCGCTATAATAATTATACTCAGATATAATCCCCGCACAGGGGGATTATCCAGACCCTGGACGCCAATATTTCTCCGATTTCTCCGAGTTTTTTTTCATGTGACGCTTATTTGCAATCGCTGGCTGTTCTGCGGCTGGTTTCAGCATTGACCGGTGGCTCGCCCCGTTCGCAGCTTTATCCACTAGCCCGCGTTCTAATTGCATTCTTGCGGCGTTATATCTCAATAATCCGAGCTAATTATTTATCATAACATGCATAACCCGCTTCGGTTGAGCACGCCAAGTAAATATGTCAGAGATTTTCTCGGCGTTTCTCGCGTAACACGCACGCGCGCCACGCACGGCACACACACACACACACACACACACACACACACACACACGCACACACACGCTATCTCTCTCTTTCTAGTAGCAACTCTAAACTAAAACAAGGCGATCGCAGCCTGTATTTTCTAAAAACATTTTTTTACACTGCAGACTAATAGACGGATTATTGGTATATAGAGGGAGGCGCGCGAGGGGGACCCGCTGCCTAATTATAAACGGAGACTATACATTCAGCAAATCGCTATAGTCGCCGCATTAAATCCCTTCAGAGAGCTGCTAATACACACGCCGCCACAGCGATGTTTGTATCTGCTGCGTACTCCACCTCGTCGTTTTTAGCAGCTTATTGATTGTTGAACTCTCTCTCGCGCTCGCTCGCTCGGCGGCCGACTGTTTATGCGGAATGCGCGCAATGCGTGCACTTCGAGCTTCTCGGAGGAATTCGCTTTCATTTCCAAGCAAAGTTACACGCAGATCGTTTCTCGATAAATGAATGCGAGTGAGTCACGCGCACGCGAGAGAGAAACGAGTTTTTATCAATGTAACAACACCATATATAGCAATGACAACTATAATAATTATATGATTCATAGGTACAGGTCAGCCATATTTGTGTCTCTCAACTCTTTCTTCATAACGAGAACTATAAAAATGTGATAAATAATAGATATAAATAAATAAATAAATGACTAAACAAATAAATGAATAAATAAATAAATAAATATACATATATATATATATCATATATATATATATAATATAAAAGAATAACATAGCTATCATTATCTAGCAATATATTTGAGTAATAAAGATTCTGACACGTTTAAAACGAGCGTTTTAACAGCGCTGCAATAAAACGACACTCCATCAGTATACTAGGATCGTTAAGTTGATAAACACGCCATTTCCCATTTATCCGCTTATTTCCCGTTTAACCGCCTATTTCTAGTTTGCGACTGATTCGAGGAAAACTCCGTGCATCTCTCGTCACCCAACAACACGCCCACTGAGCTCGCCGAGTGTAGTTGCCATCCAACTTAGAAATAATTATATGAGGATGAATTATTTTAACCGCGGTTAAACTATTTGTGTATTTGTGTATTAAACTATATGTGCAACAAGGCCTCTGATTGGGTAAAAGGGCTATAATTTTACCGCGGTTAAATGATTTCTACCGCAGTAAAAAAATAATTTTTAAGCCCTTTTACCTATAATCAGAAGCCGTGTTACACATAATTTAACCGCGGATAAGCTCATTTTACCGTGTTAGAAATTTAGAAAATTATAGTGATAAAATCGAACTAGAACAATCACGTTTGTTGTTGACCTTTGCAGTCCTTGAAAAACCAATTTTTTGCTTGAGCCACCAATCAGCGGTCATCGTGCTTGATCCTAAATTCCTATCGTGTTGAATTCGCATCGACGCGCATTTAACCTTTAGCTATAGATTGCGTGACCTTCGCGCAAGGTCACCCGCTGCGGAGGATATGTCCCAACCCTCTCTTCTATCCTTGCAAGGTCACCAATTTCTCTACGCGCATAAAAATTTATAGATGCCATGGAACCTTAGCATGTCCGGTACATAGTTTCTACGTCGACACGCATGCACAACGAACTGCGATGTTTGCCGAGTTTCTACGAGTGGCTGTGAAATGCTTTGACACTGTAGGCGAGCTGTCACCTTGAGCTATGAGCTGGTCTGGTGACTCGCCGATGGAGGTGACCACGATGAAAGCATGACGATGTTTTATTCGGGGAGGACGGCCCGGGATGTGGCACCGACTTCTAAATTCAGTAGAGAACTTGTATCGCTCATGATTTGCAGCATGAATTATGCAGCGCGAAGGTGCTGTTACGCAGATCTGCGCGGTGTCGGTACGTTTGACCTTTAAACCTCACGAGTTTTGTCGAGTTATTGTCGACTGAGTGAGCGCACCGACGAGGGCATCTGATTGGCTCCCGAGGTCAGCTGATATCAGCTATATGTTTTGCGCAAACGGAAATTGTTCCGGTGACGAAGCCCTATAAAAATGCGATTACTGTACCCGCCGGGTTATTTGCGATAAGAGGAGGAGGGGAAGGAAGGAGGGGAGGAGGAGAAGCAAGGTGGCAAAATGAGAGAGGAGGAGGGAAAAGGAGGAAGGGAGGAGAAGGGAAGAAGGAGAAGGCGCGCAGGGGACGAGGGGAGACAGTGAAGAGGAAGCGAGAGGGAAGCAGATGATCAGGGGGAGGAGGAGGGCAGGAAGAAGAATTGGGATCGAGACAGTGCAATCCGACATTATCTCTATATGATGTAACGATTGTATTTGAGAACAGTCGAACGCAGCTAATTTGGTTAGCAGTCACCTCAATAGAACGGCAACCTGTTCATAGCGGTCATGATGTACTAAATCATATAAAAACCTTCCGATGGTGCCGTGATAGCACTGTACACAACGACCAGTTACTGAAAGCAGCCAGCGGTTACTGTTTTTGTATCCTTCGAGCGGGCAGCAACCGTGTACAGCGGTCACTTCGAGCGGGCAGCAACCGTGTACAGCGGTCACTTCGAGCGGGCAGCAACCGTGTACAGCGGTCACTTTCCACGTTTTCACTTCTTGCCGTCAACATACTGTGCGCTTGATACTGATAATATTGCGGTTATGTCGGAAGAACTTGCGGTCTAGCTCGCTCCAGAAGAAACGATCTTTCTCAGAGGTCCAGCGTCAGTAAACCAGCGTCGATTCCCGCCTCGCTATAATAATATACTCAATATATCCCCCCGCACACGGGGGACTTATCCCAGACCCTGGCGCCAATATTTCTCCGATTTCTCCCGAGTTTTTTTCATGTGACGCTTATTTGCAATCGCTGCTGTTCTGCGGCTGGTTTCAGCATTGACGGTGGCTCGCCCCCGTCGCAGCTTTATCCACAGCCCGCGTTCTAATTGCATTCTCGCGTATATCTCAATTAATCGACTAAATATTTATCATAAACATATAAACCCGCTTCGGTTGCAGACGCCAATAAATATGTCAGAGATTTCTCCGGCGTTTCTCCGCGTAACACGCACGCGCGCACGCACGCACACACACACACGCGCACGCACGCACACACACACACGCGCGCGCACACAACCACACACACACACACACACACACACACACACACGCACAACACACACACGCGCGCTGCCACACACACCCACACAACAAAACACACACCACCACACAAACACCACACGACAACACACGCCTATTTCTCTTTTAGTAGCAACTCTAAAACTAAACAAGGCAGATTCGCAAGCTGTTATTTTCTGTTTTATAAAAAACATTTTTCTTACAGCTGCAGACTAATGACGGATTATTGGCCGTATATAGAGGGAGGCTGCGCCGAGAGGGCGCCCGCTGCATAATTATAAACGGAGACTATGTAATCTCAGCAAAGTCGCCTTAGTCGCGCATTAAATCCCTTCTAGAGAACCTGCTAATACACACGCGCCACAGCTATGTTTGTATCTGCACTGGTAGACTCCACCTCGTCGTTTTAGCAGCTTATATGGAATTTGTTGCAACTCTCTGTTCGCGCTCGCTCGCTCGCGGACCGATCGTCTTTATGCGGACTATGCGCGCTCGCAATGCTGTGCACATTCGAGCTTCTCGGCAGGAATTCGTTTCATTTCAAAGCAAAGTTACGACGCAGATTCGTTTCTCGATATAATGGGATATGCCGATCGTGAGTCACCGCGCACGCGAGAAGAATAAACGAGTTTATTTAATCAATGTAAAAGCACATAATATAGCAATGAAACTATAATATTAGTATGATTAATAGGTTTTAAGTCAGCCATATTTGCTGTCTCTCAACTCTTTCTTCTAACGAGAATATTAAATGTGATAAATCATAGTATAATAAATAATAATAGCTAACAATAATTGATGAATTATAATAATAAATATTAAAAACATTATATTTCTGGC